TATTAATTTGAATTACTGAGGATCTACCATTCATTTTTTAACGTCTGCTGTAATCCATAATTAATTAGAATTATTTCTATAAAAACAACCATAAAAAATAGGTTTATAAACTAATAAAATATTGCATGTTTATTTACTACGAATGATAAATATAGGATTAAGAATTATTGAAATAATAATGAGAAAACCATTATCGTTTTTAATGAGTATTGCGTCTTTAAAGAACATTTAAAGATCATTAAATATTCCTTTTTCTTGAAAACTATTCTTCTGAGAGTAATATTTGCACTCATGAATAATAGAAAATTCTTTTAATGGTCATTAAAATATCTTTCAGGTAAAGAAATTTTTTATCTATCTTTATTTCTTTAACATAATATTCCATTCTAATTCTTAATCCAATGTATTAATATAATCAGTTCATTATGTAGAGAAAATTATGCATAATTACACTTGCAGCATTAGTAAAATTGTAATAATAACTTGATGTTTTTAAATAATATTTTTAAAACTAGTGAATTATTTTAAAAAATGGTATGTACATAATGTAATTCTGTAACAGGACCAGAATTTCGTTTGTACCAGATTTTTATAACAATGTTAGTGCAGCAAATTTACACAAAAAGTCAGTTTTGGTTAATAAAATTTAAACAAAAATTTACAGCTATGTCGGTAATCTACAGTACACCAAAAAAATGAGCCACCTTTAATCCAATGATTGGATCTTCACGTTTTAGGAATTTGAGCAAAATTTGAACGAAATTGGTTTAATAGTTCCTGAGAAATCGAATTTTAAGAAATTCGTATATTTAAAATTTGATTTCGCAGGAACTAATTGACCAATTTTGCTCACATTTTGTACTTTAACATGTAAAATTACATATTTTTAAAAAACTTAAGAAATTGTATACCTTACAATTCAAAATTCTTTCAACTATTATTTAATAAAATAATAAGAAATGATAAATATTTACTAAAATTCATCTTTTACATGGAATTATCTTTGGATAAACGAATTTTACAATTGTGTGCAAAAAGTTCTCGAAAGTAATTTTAAAGTAATTTTAACATTAAGGTAAGTAATTTTAATTAAACCAAGTAGTAAAGTAATTTTAACATTAAGGATCAAAACTCTGGATCACTCTCTTGATCAGACCTTAGTAAGGGGACCTTATGTCCCTGATTGCGGCTACCCCCTATATTTTGGGGGTCAGAAATCCTAATCCGTCAAAAAAAACGGCATGTTTATTTAGAAAGGGTACGTTTCGCGTCTTATTTCGTAACTTAAAATATCGTCTGCACTAATTAATTATCATATTTGAGGGCATCCCCTCAAACTATTAAGTTTGAGTCTTAAAAAGAGAAGATCCGATTGAAAGTTATTCATCGTGATCCGCTTCTTAACGTACTGAGCATAATAAGGTTTGTTGAACACTATTCTGTTTTGAAAAATTAAAATAATTAACTATGATAATTAAAAATAAATGAATTTTTCTTTCACCAATATTTTCTAATATAAAATAAGCACCTTATAAAAAGAAATATAATGCATCAATGTCTTACAAGAATTTTTACTAGAATTCATCCAAATTGATATTTGATAATGAAACGTTACAGCAGTAAAATATTTAAAAAATAATGAGTTCTTGTTCTTGTAAATTACAATTGTTTTGCACTATTATATTTTGCATTATAATCTTAATTAGTGGAAAAAGACGATTCGTTACAAAAATTTGACCTATACCATGCTTCTCATATACATACCACAATCTCCTATTCGAAATCATTTGAAAATTTTAAATATCTAATGTTAAAATTTAGAGTACTATTTAAATTAATATAATTTTTCCAAAATTCCTTTATTCAGTATTCTCTAAAAGTAAACTGTGAAAATTGTTTAATCAATATGTGATTTCCTTAGATTTTAAAACAAAATGAGATTTAATTTATGTTTATTCTTCATCCTTATAAGTGTGTAAATAATATATTTGAAATCACATACAATAATCTTTATTTTATTAAACTATATAATAGAAAATGTTACTTTAATTATTATTTTATAATAAATATTACTATTCCCACTGAAAAACAAGTGATGTAAAATTATTTATGGATTAAATATTTTACGATCTTATATACTATTTACACGCGAAAAGAATTGAGGATGAGATAGAATAAATCATTCTTCGAATGAAACGAATTATTAATGAAGCAAAGTATTTTGAAAATCCCGGCAGGATTGTTTTTCTACAATAACCTAAGTAATTGCTCATGACCACACAGTATAAAAACAAAGAGAAGTAAGCTAATTACATAAATAAAAAAGGTGAAGATAAACTTTTTGCACTATTTAAGCAATAACTTTTTCTTTTGTCTATTTGCATCAAGGACGTATTAGTTATGATGTTAATAGTTTTAAGAGTTTTATGAAAAAAATAAGGAGAAAAATATATATCCTTAATAAGAAAATAGATAAGAAATATCTCTTCAGTTTATTATAAAATGCGTCTGAAAAAAGAAGCTTTTAATTTTCACAAATGAACTTGTACTCAAGCAAATGCAAAATTTTCAAAAATTCTCTCAAGATAATCTTATTTTAATAGTGTGTATGTTCAAGATGACGTCGTTTGCATAAATTTGGGCAGGATCTCTTGTGATGTTTAGACTTTCTTAGATGATGTCTTGGCAGGATCTCTTGTGATAAACAAAGATTCATCTCTGAGGTATAGGACTGATATCTTAGATCCCATTGTGAAATTATTTAGAGGTGCTCTTTTTCCGAAATTAATTTTATGCATGACAATAAGAGTCCGATAAAGACTAAATTAGTCGCAAAATACTTTAAAGATTGCACTTTAAAGATTACACTGCATCCTCTGAATATTATTTAGAGGATGCAGTGGCCAACTAGATCTCTAGACCCTAATTTCACCCCATTTTTCGTTGTGGCGTAGGGCTAAGATCTTAGAGCCCTTTGTAAAATTATTCAAAAGTGCTGTTGCTTCCCAGTTCATTTTTATGCAAAACAACAAACCTCCGATCATGATTAATTGGTTGAGAAGTACCTTGAAACCGATGACATTCAGAGGATGAAATGGCCAATCAGATATCCATACCTAAATTTCAGAGATTATGTCTGAAAAGTTCTTTGGTAGAGCATTTGCAAGTCGCTACCCCTTCCAGAAGCCTCCCTCAGCTATGAAAACTGCCTAATTAGAATGGGTTTGATTGTTTCAAGACTTTATCAATAAGCTCGTAAATCGCATGAAAGTTAGTCATGAAACCTGCATTGACGGGAAGGGTGGTCGATTAAACCTCATATTAAAATCACCACAAGTGCCATTTTTCCATTTTGCCCCATTACTTTTGGATCTTCTTGCTGTGATGCTCATTAATTCATGACTTTTGGATCGACCATTTAACTTTTTGCTATCATCACTTTTTTAAATAGTTTGATGTATATTTTATATGAAATTTCACTTGATTTGATTTATTATTTCTCTAGTTTTTTGTTTGGTAAAATGAGTTTGCCTGTGAATAAATCGGCTACTCAACCTTGTTTATAAAATAAAATTAAAAAAATAAACAAGAACAAGTAACTCAAAATGCGATACCTAAATAAAATGAGAAATTTTAAAGGTCCACTTAGGACGAAAAAGGGATTTTATAATGGTTGGCTAACTGAAAAGTGAAAACTAGTGAAAAAGTCAAAAATAAAGTTGAGATAGCTCTGCCACCATTTAGAATAATAAACGAAGGCGTGAGAAACGCATCACAGATTGTGTATAACTAAATTATTAATTCGCATGATTTAAAGTGAATGTAAACTCATGATAAATTAAATGCATTTAGAAAAGAGAAAAAAAACTGCTGTAGTACGGTTTATAGATAAGGCGAATGTTATGCGAATATTGTCAACGAATAGTGACTATCAATTGCAAGCACTATTTATAACGAACGGCTCTGAACAAATGGTGTCAAAATTTTCGAGAAAAGGGAGTATCAATATCGAATCTGCCAAGACGATGGCGAGCAAACCCCGAGATTTCCATTGATTTCATTGCAGTTGTGCTCGATAAAATGAATAAAAACAATTGGAAAATTGCGCCTCGTCATATTTGTGCACCACTTTGAGTCGAGGAAATATGCAACTCCCATTTGAAACTAAGAACTGTAATATCGCGTGCTGTTATTTTCTCGACGCATCCATATTATTTATCATCCATTATAATTCTTTTTTAAAAACTCTCGCGAAAATTGGTTAATTAGTTATATACGATCTGCAGTGCACTCCGACGCTATAAGCGTGATAACTTTTCTTTTAGACTACCTTCTAATGTTGATCTGCGTAAAATTATAAGAACAACTTATTCATTAAAAAAATAACTAATGTTTTTTAATTATATTTCTTGTTTCATTTTGTTCATAGAAATGTGTTCCATTGAACCTAGTTAGAAATTTCAAATTTTTAGGTTTCAAGATTAATTGAAACTTTTAGATTGCTAAAAGCTTTAAGATTGATAACTAGGCTCAATCAAACATATTTCAATGAATAAAAAAAAGCAAAAAATATTTAAAAATACTATACTTAATAAATGGAGAAAGGACATTGATAAAATTTTTTAATTTAACATAAAGAAGCAGGCCCTTAATAGTAATGTTTTGTTGATGTGATGAACAAAGATCTTTATTTTACTTTATTGACATCATAACTATGCACTATTTATTTCTCTATTTATCTCCAAACTCAGAAGTGAGATAAGTGCTACATGACAACAAAAATTACTCACGAATGAAGAAAATATATAGCACTAAGCTGAATAGAAAACCTAAGTTAATCCGCGGGACATGGAATATTTTATATGCGAAGTAGTCGAAACATTTCATCAGAGTGATTGCTTGCTGCGAATTTCCATTTATTCCAAAGCAAACATAAAGGCCGACAAACTCTTGCTGTGGATAAAGAAACAGGAAGAATGGGAAAATATAGCTGTACTTACTCGCTCTTTGTGATGGGGTTAGTAGAAATATATTGGAAATGATATTAACTGGTGTTTGCAGATGTTGAACCCGCATGTGGGCGCGGCTGGAGTTCTCACTATACTTCCGTGACTTCAATAATAGTGTACATGTCAGTTTGACAGAGAAAAGGGTATGAAAGACACTAAATGTGACATCTGTAGCACCTGTTAATGTGATATCAACCTACTTATTGGATTGATTTCTAGATACTTTTGATAGAAATTATTTCTATGTATATATATAATTGATACAAAAACGCTTATTTGTATTATCTTACTCCAAAAATGGTTTTCTTTAACAGACTCAGAACTGAACTTTTCCACTACGAGTGCTTTGATATAATGAGAATTAAGTGCTTTGATGAAAATGAGAATGAAAGTTTAATGAACCAAAGTAAAAATTTTTAGATCAATGTTTTATGTTTGTTAATAAAAGAAGCAAATCCCTTTTTCATGCAAAGTACAAAGTAGGGTGCATCACTTTTGAGAAACAACTTTTGACAGACAGTGGACATTTTCGCTGAAGATAGATTTTTATTATGAAGTTGATGCCTCCAACATTTTTCATTTTATACGAGAGAAAAATACTATTGTCACTTCTCTAGTCTCCATGTAAAATGTTAGCTTTTAAAATTTCTATTGTGTTTTATTGTACTCTTTTTGGTTTTTGTTTGCTAGTTTGTTTACGACGAAAAAGTTTCAAAATTTTGCTTAGCGATAAAAGAGAGTTAAATCTTGCGTGCATCATGTAGAAAACAAATTGTCATCAGTTTCAATTGAATTTTTAACACCCCAGATAAACGGAAAGCGATCGAAATTTCGATTGATGATAAATTGGAGGTAAATTTTGCTTCAGTAGTCCGAAAACGATGTAAACTTGTTTTGACATGCAGCACAGATCTCCAATTAAAATAAAAGCACCCTAGCTATTCGGAAAATGAGCGAAAATTTTTATAACAATAATTTCATGATAAATTCTGCTTATTGTGATCATATATTGTCATCAATTTAATCCTGGTGTTTTCATCAAGAACTTTATTCCCATGTCTGTACTTAAATTTGATACTGACAATAAACTTTCATTACCATTTTTCGATAGTATTTCGAATAATTTTGCTTCAAGTGTCTGGAAACGATTAATACTTGCATTGTAATCAAACACAGAGCTCTTATAAAGATTTAAGTGTTTAGTTGAATATACTTTTAATTGGGTACTTGCACTTCAAGTAGAATATCTCGGATACCCACACATATGATCTATGACGTCAGCGCCAGCTGATAGTTATAAGCTAACTAGCGTGTTTAAGTTGAGCTAAGTTTCTCCACTTAAGTTAGAATGTTAATTAACGTGAAATTAATTAAATATAATGTCGCATTGCACCTAAAATTTGTTGAAATATAATTTTTTCTCGTCAACGTTTTTTTTGATTTACCTAAATTTATTATTTGCTTATGTATCTTATTGTAACCGTGATATATTTTTGTTTTGTGTGCCTGGCAATTTCGATGCATAATTAGCTTGTTTGTGTTCTACTTGGCTTCGTGCCTGTCTTTGTGTTAAATAAGGGAAATTTGGTGAAAGAATTGAAATCTTTGAGAAAAGATATCAGATGATGTCTCTTAAGAGAATTGATCCTTGTCGGGGTTGGCTTACTCGAAATGGAATGGAAGGAACAGTTGCTAACGCAAACAAATGCCACGTTTCAAGAAGAAATCAGGATCGAGGTACCCATACTACGTCTCTTGCTGGTATCCCATTGCAAGATTCTGTCGGCACATACACTAAAAGAAGTTTTTAAAAAAATAGTTAAAAGAAAACTTTTGTTTTCTTTTAACTATTTTCTTCTTTTATATTTTTCTCCTTTTATGTAATATTTTTCAGAGCAAATCAAAGTGAGTAATTATGCAACTTGTAAAATTAAATGATAACAGGATTAAGATTAAATGATGCAATTAAATGATAATAGGATGAAGAAGTTTCTTGAAATTTCTGTTGAAATTTACAAAAAATTTTCTCTTTTATTAAATGTTACAAGAAAATATACGATTTCTGAGCAGTCGAAGTAACTACATCTAATATATGTGAGAACGCATATTTTTTTTAACAGTAAAACCAATTGCTAACATTAAAACTAGTGTGTAAAATAAATTACGAGGCATCTTAATAATTTTTGATCTAATGATTGGATTTTCGTGCAAGGACGTAGCATGTAATTTTAATAATTCAAGGGATTAACGTTAAGGATGTTAAAGTATTTGTGCAGATATTTCAGAGTTCCAAGCACAAAAATATTTCTGAATAAAAATTGCCGGTTTTTCGATGGATTTGAATTCTTGATCCAAAAAATATACGGGCAGATGCAATTTGGAAAATATAATCAAAATAGTTTTGACAAGAAAGCGCTTGAAAGTTTAGATCCTTAAAAGTTACTTTTACTTTTTTGCGTATTTTACCATATATTTAGAACTGCTTAAGGTAAATAAATATTTTTTGCATGCAATTGTAAAAGTCTTTTATCCGAAAATAATTCGAATTAAAAAAGGTTTATTGTTTTTTATTATTTCCCTTAATAATGGTCAAAATGATTAATTATAAGATATTTTTGCATAATTTTTAAATTTGTAAATTTTAATGGCAGGGAGAATATGGACGGAATTGGTCAAACATTTCTTGTGAAATAAAAATGTAAAAATATGCCTTTTTTATACTATTTAGCGTGAAAGAAGTAAAATTAACATTAAGGAGATCATCCCCCAAAAAGGGAGCAATTACAATTATTTAATGATGCAATTAAAGAAGTTATTTCACCTATATTTCTGCGAGTTATTTTAGGAGAAATAATGTATGCTGGATTATAGACAAAAGCAGGAGAAAATTCGGTGATAAATCTTAAATTTATACATTTTAAGGGCCAAAAACATATCCTCTTTCTTTGAAGTTCCGAAAAATTCATATTAGTAAAATGACATTAAAGTTGTTTTTTTTTCTCATATTGATAATGTAATGAGCTGAAAAAAAGTGTTCTGGAAGATTTAACGCCTTCCGATTCAAATGCGACTAGCTTCAAAATAATAAAGAAGAATATAGAAAAACTCAAAAATTCATAATTTCATCATCTACATGATCATCAACGAGCCAAATTTAGCTATAAATTTGATATTTATCAGTTTTAAATCAAAAGACTCATTTTGACCAATAGATTTTACTTTCATGCAACTTGTGTTTTAAAGCTATTCAGAGGAATGCTATTGATTGAGTGATTGATTTGTTCATTTACGTCAGAGCTGCACAATGGGCTATTGACGACGGTCTGGGAAACATTCCTGAGGATGATCCGAAGACATGCCATCGCAATTTCGATCCTCTGCAGAGGGGATGGCACCCCCGCTTCGGTAGCCGACGACCTGCACGCGAAGTCGAGCACTTTTCGGTAGAGCAGTTTAACGAGGACCAATACCGCACACCCTCGGTCCCTTCGCAGACTGATCCGAGTGGTCACCCACCCGCACACTGACCGCAGTCAGTGATGCTTGACTTCAGTGATCTGCTGGGAACCGTGTCTTAACGATCAGTCCACTGCGGGACCAGTGGAATGCAAAGAGACCTCAACTTGAGTAGTCGAAACATCCACTTCCTAGTATTTAAGCTGACTTTTATTCGACTGGTTGAATTGATCAAAAATGCCAATTGCAATCGAAATACGCAATTATTTCAGAGGGATCATAATCTTTACCTATTAATAATGAATACGTATCACAAATTATAATACAAATATTCCTTTACGATATACCTTTATAATATATAATACAAATATAACTTTATATATAATACAAATATACCTTTTCATAATACAAATATTCCTAAAACAAATATTCCTTATAATTCCTTTTTTTCGTNCGAGCACTTTACGGTAGAACAGTTTAACGAGGACCAATACCGCACACCCTCGGTCCCTTCGCAGACTGATCCGAGTGGTCACCTACCCGCACACTGACCGCAGTCAGTGATGCTTGACTTCAGTGATCTGCTGGGAACCGTGTCTTAATGATCAGTCCACTGCGGGACCAGTGGAATGCAAAGAGATCTCAACTTGAGTAGTCGAAACATCCACTTCCTAGTATTTAAGCTGACTTTTATTCGACTGGTTGAATTGATCAAAAATGCCAATTGTCTTCAGTCAGTCTTTTTCGATAATACAGCTCCCTTCATAATTTTAAGATTGTCTAGCCAATATTACAATTATTGGAAATTGAAATATTAAAGGTAAATCTGTAATCGAAATACGCAATTATTTCAGAAGGATCATAATCTTTACCTATTAATAATGAATACGTATCACAAATTATAATACAAATATTCCTTTACGATATACCTTTATAATATATAATACAAATATAACTTTATATATAATACAAATATACCTTTTCATAATACAAATATTCCTAAAACAAATATTCCTTATAATTCCTTTTTTTCGTGAAGTATAAATAATGCTGTTGATTATCTTTTTTTAAAGATCGACAATAAGACACAGGACTTTGATTTTCGATGATAGGTTTAAAATTTCTTTGAATTTATTCAGATTTAATTTCACCTTGAGAATTAGTTTAATTAAATTAGTTTAGTTAATTTGAGAATTAAAAGCAAAGAAGCTTTTCAGCAATGTTGTAGTATCATTGACATTGCAAGTGGATGAAGAAGGGTATGAAAGAGAAATTAACACACATTCTTTGTTCTCCTACCTTCATTGAGATAATAATAGTTCTCTAGCTTCCTACAGAATGAACCATGCTACTATTAGGTAATATGCATACTACTCTCGAACTGATTGATCATTGTAATAACACAAAATATTCTGCGTGGTCGACGAATCATGGATCACATACCAATTACCGTTGAACTAACCGTGGAGCGGTGATTTGGTGCTCTTCAAGCAATTTCTACTCAAACATTTCCCCACAAAGAGGTGTTTGTTCCAAAGCATGACGTATGCTCATTGTCATCACAATGTCATGTTTATGAAATTGTCATCATAACAAACACACCTTAAT